TCATGCTATAGGGCTGCTGCTATAGCTCACCTGGTTGAGCTGGCGTCCTATGTGTAGGGCTACAGTCCCAATGTGGAGGTCATGAGTTCAAATCCCACTGACTCTACATCTAGACGGGGTTCTACTGGAGCTTCACTACGAGAACATTCAGAGGCAGAAATGCAGGCTTTACTTACTGCCTTGCAGATATTCAGGTGTCAGATTTTAACAGCTTTAATGTTCTGGTGTGACTGAGCCCAAACACTTTGACCTGCAGGGTTCAGATCTTTAAATCTAGAACTTGAAGGAGTGGTGACCTAAAGCCAGCTGATGGGGGATGTGCTGACAGGCAGTGGGGTGGAGGTGGAGGTGGTTGGAGGCTGTGGTGGTTTCCTACCTGGTCGGCAAGCTTTCCCAGCCTGTGAGGCTGCAGCAGCGAAGAAGGAGGGAGGGCGGAGACAAAACCAGGTATGAGAAATGTGGGCGGAGTTATGCAAAACAAAGACAGGAAGAGGGAGGAGAAATGTCCAAATGGAGAACTCAAAGAACCAAAACAAGCAGTGAGAACAGATGTTCAGCCACATGTTAGTCTGGTCAGTTAAAGGTGCCACCAGGAGTTAAAGGAGGCTGCAGCACTCCAGCAGCTGGGCCCAGAACTGCTGAACAGCACCAGAACAGAACCATGACAAAGAGTGTAGTTCCATAGTTAAGAGACAGATCGTCGTCTTAGTCCACATGTGGAGGTTTTGTTTTCATGTTTTTAATGTGGACAATAATTATTATTATTGGTGTAAATTTACATGAAAAATATGATTTTAGAGAGAAATTAAAAAGATTATTTACATTTTGTGACATTTTACATGAATTTGCAAAAACATGGTGAGCTTTGATGAAATCACGATCAGACTGAACAGAACAGGACCGTCTGATCCAACCAGTCGTCTGCTTTCACTAAACCTGTGCTGCATGAACGTCTGTTTACACAATGTTTTCTGTTTATTTACAGATTTCTTCCAAGTTCTTAAAATGTATGAAAGTCCAATTAAACAAATTCACCAACGTTTTCTTTTCATTTCGTCATCTGGAGCTATTCAGGTTTACTGCTGTAAGTATAATTCAGATGTGATTTAATGTCATTGTGAATCCATTAGACTCTGTTGGAATACATCATTCATCATTTCATTCTGTCTCTGTATAGATCTGCACATGTTTGTGTCCTTTAACAAACTTTAAAATATGACCTTGTGTAAACAATAAGGCGAGATAAGGATGTAAAATACTGTAATTTAACCAGATGATTATTTATTTGATCTTTTATATCATATTGTTTTATTTCATGACTCTCCAGAATGTAGGTTTTCTAAACATTATTTGTACGTTAAGCTTGAGATCATATTCAGAACAATGTGGTGATTAACAGGTCCAGTCACACCTGTACTGATGTGCTGAACACAGTTCGTTAGAATAATGAGCTTTAGTTTAGTTTCTATCATTTAATTAAAAAAGTTCCCATATAAATGTGACTTATGACACTAACATCCATCCAGACACCTGATGGACGATTACACATTATAAACTGAAGATCAACAGAAAACTCAATGTTAGGATTAGTTTTGTGTAATCTGTAATTAACGCGATAAAATACCTTCAGGACAGAATCAGCGCTGAGTCCAGAACCTGTCGCATCTATAACCGCAGATCTTTACTGTCTGTCTGTAGTTAATCATTCTTTGGGTGATTTTATGGGTTCGTGTTTGTCAGCAGCACAACGATGGGAAGCTGTGGAGTTGTTCTGAAGCAAGGGCGTCCAATGCTGTCCTCCAGGACCAGGATTGGACGCCCCTGCTTCAGAACCATGCAGGTCAAACGGGTTCATCGGTGCAGCTTTCCAGACGAGCTTCACTCAGCTCATGAATGAGTGGTGCCGTCAGAAACCTATCAGACGATGAAAACAATAAATCACGTTAAAGATCTAAAACCACATTTCAGATCCTATCATTCAAGCCTTCAGCAGAGGAACAGTCTAACAGTGGCTAGCTGAACGAGCTCCTCCAGACTCTTCTCTGGGTTCCAGAACAGCACCAGTCCCAGGGTTAACCCTAACCCTAACCAGAGCTGAAGGTCTGAGCAGCTTGGAATGGAAACGAGAAGCTCAAACCTGAGAGAAGAGCTGAAGCTGAGCTCTGAGCCTGTTTTCTGCTGGATTCAGGAACCGCACCACAAAAACCTGTTTGGCTCTGCTCTGTTTGAAATGTTCTGGAGCTGATGAACCCGTAGATCTTCGACGCCTCACAGAGCGGTGCAGTGATGTGGTTTCTCCTCCTCAGCGGTCTGAGAATCAACTCATCTGTGAAGCTTCGAGGTCAAACATGAGGAGATACCTTCTGGATCAGGAACAAAGAGACGTTTCCTGAAGGTCGGAGATGTTCAAAGAAACACTCTTTTGGAAATCTGACGCAGACGGAAGCTTGATCAGCTCAGCTCAGATTCACATTCAGCCGAGCAGCTGAAACACGAGGAAACCAAAGAGAAGCTCCAGACTGCTCTGCTGAGCTGCTTCCTGATGCATCCAAGAACCATCACAAAGGTTCTCAGCATCTCCCACACACAAAAACATTCTGGTTCTGTCACTGACTTATGAAAGTTCTTCTGGAAACATGACAGAATCTGCTGGATCATAAGAGCCTACTGACCTACTGTATCACAGCGTGGTACGGCAGCTGCACCATGGCAGACAGGGAGAGGCTTCAGAGAGTCGTAAAGGCAGCCCAGAAGATCATCGGCTGCCCTCTCCCCTCCCTGATGGACATCTACACCTCCCGCTGCCTCAGTAGAGCGAAAAACATCATCATGGACATCTCCCACCCTGGTTCTGTCATGTTGGACCTGCTGCCCTCAGGGAGGCGCTACAGGTGCATCAGAACCAAAACAAACAGACTCCAGAACAGCTTCTTCCCAAAAGCCATCACCACTCTGAACTCACACATGCACTGACATCACAGCCCCCCCCATCTACCTCACATCCACCTACTGTGAACTCTATAAATGTCAATATCACCTCTGACCATGCTGTGCAATATGTTTCTAAACTCATACTGTTCATAGAACTTATACTGTATGTATAACTTATCTTATATTGAAATCTCTTCTATTTTTTATTTCGTTCTTTGCTCTATATTGCACTGAAGGAGCTGCTCTTAATCTCATTGTACATGTGTATAGTGACAATAAAGGCATTCTATTCTATTCTATTCTGTTCTATTCTATTCTATTCTATTCTATTCTACAAATATACATACAGCCACCTGAAGAATCAGTTTTAGTGATGGAGAAAGTTCTGATGATCTCATCTTCTGAGCTTCATGGCATCCTAACTTCTCCTGAGTGGTTCTGATCGACTCCAGCTGCTGACTCCTCTGATCCAGTTTAAACAGAACCATCTGATCCACTCATTAGACTCAGACACTACAGTGGGAAAGTCTGAGGAGCTCAGCAGAGATCTGGAGAAGAACATCAGTGACTGGAACCAGTCAGAAAGTCACTTGGAGCCATTTCAGAGCAGCTTCAGATCCAGAACCATCAGTACAGTGTCTGGAGGAGAGAAGGTGAGGCCTTTAACCCCAAGAACGCCAGACCTACCATCAGGCATGGAGGTGGCAGCATCATGTTCTGGTTCTGTTCTGCTGCCAGTGGACCTGGAGCTTTACACAAAGTCAGTGGACCCATGAAGAAGGAGGATCACCTCCATGTTGTTCAGGAAAACCTGAAACCATCAGCAGAAGGTTGATCTTGGACACAGGTGGATGTTCCAACCAGACAATGAGCCCAAACACACATCAAAGTGGTGAAGAAATGGTTCCATCAGGCTGGAATGAAGGTTCTAGACTGGTCTCCCCAAAGTCCTGACTGGAACCATCCAGAACCTGTGGACTGATGAAGAAACAAGTCTGAGTCAGAAAGACGACGAGTTTAGTTGAACTGCAGCGGTTCTGTCCAGAGGAGTCAGAGATGGACCAGAAGCTGGTGGACGGAACCAGAAGAACCCGACTGAGGAGAACATGGACCTTTAACCAGATGTTAGTATTTCTGTTTATTTATTTCTGATCCAACAGGTTCTGTCATGTTTCCAGAAGAACTTTAATAAATCTATGAAAGAACCAGAATCCAGGATTGTTCTGGTTCTGTTCAGATTCATGTGTCTCATTGATTCCATCAGAGAAGATTCAGAGTTCTAGGAGTCGCTGGAGACGAAAGACTGACATGATGAACGTGGTCTTCATGGACCCTTTAGTTCTGGTTCTGTCTCCTATGATCTGCAGCTGTTCTGTTTGTTCTGACAGCCCGGTATCAGTCTGATCAGCTTTGTTCTGCAGAACTAAAGTAGCAGGTTTCTCAAACGTCAAAAGCTCCATTTGACCTTTAGGCCCGACCACAACGTGTCACCAAGTAGAGACCCAGAACCAAACCCAACCTAGAGCAGACCGACCTGCAGGCAGATGGCCAGGTTGACCCGGCAGCCGAACGACGTGCTGACGGCCCGCGGGTGGAGGCCCAGGTCCTTGAAGAGTTTGGAGAAGGACTGGGTCAGGGCGATCCTGGGACGCTCCTCGGCCACAACCACGCAGGTTCTGACCCGGGACAGGTCCAGGCCGCGAGACTGAGGAGAGCAGCAGGAGGTCAGACGGCCGGTTCTGAGCCCGGTGCAGGTTCATTCGGGCTTCGTTCTTACCTTGAGGGCGTCGGTCTGCAGGCCGAGGCCTTTGGTGCACAGCTCCATGACGCTGTAGGAGCAGAAGGTGTCGCGGACCTTGTGCTGACTGACGGCCGACAGCCAGAGGGACGGGTTCCCCTCCAGCTCCGACGGCGGGATGAGGATGGACTGGTGACCTGAGTACACACTGGACCAGAACATCAGCGTTAGCCAGCACCGTTTCACTGGGCTCTACGAGTCCAGTCGACATCTCGGGACAGGACAGACTGAAGAACAGGACAGAGCTGAGTCCAGACTGACCACGGGTTCAAGTACCGGGTCGGACTGGAAACGCTCCAGTTTTCTGTAAATCAGATAAAGGTGACACATCGACACGTCTGCCGGTAGTTATATACATATAGTTATGTATACATCTATTTATATATACATATATTTATATATAGTGTTGAAAGATGCTGAAAACAGATTTTCTCTGTTTTCTTAAATTACAGGAAATTTCTCCTAAAGTCACCAAAAAGTTTGAATCCACACGTTGGCTGTAGAACCAACCAGGTCGTCAGCAGACGTCTCTGTTTGGTTTTACAGCGTTTGACTGTAAAAGAATATCATAATATATTTAAATCAACTAAAGCAGGATGATGTGGAGGATGTTTCTCTGTTTTTAACGCTACACGGTTTAACTCATGTTCTGTCACTTTGTCAGCCAAACGTCACCGTTCCTGATGTTCCTGATGGTTTTCTTTAGAACGGGCTTCAGACGTGTCCTTCACTATTTGCTACAGACTTATTTAAACACTAACTTCTGTTTAAGCGACTACAAGCAGCAGAAGGTGAAGTTCACACCAGACTCTCCACCGTGTTCATGAAGAGCTTTAATCACGTCTTTTCTAAATAACTCTCACATGTTGTTAAGCTTCAACACACTCGTCTAGCAGCACCAGAACCCTTCTGATCCAGTCCTCTTTGTATTTCCTGCCGTGTGGTTTAACCTACACCAGAGCACCGTAACTGAAACATCTCCAGCGGTTTGTCTGAAGGAGTCTATGCTGGTAAAGACGTTTAATCCTGCGGCTGCAGAAGCAGGAAGCTGAAGGAACGTGTCCGTTCTGGTCGGTTCTGACCTGCAAAGGCACCAGAGGACGAAGCCGAGGCCACAGTACGGGTCGAGGCAGATGGCCACCTCTCTGGACGGGTAGAGTTCACACTGCAGCTTGATGGAGCGGCAGAAGGCACTGGTGGCGGTGTGGGACATCTGCAACGACACGGACGGCTCAGAAACCCACAGTCCCACCACTAGAGGGCGCTCCACCCTCACTGCTGTCCAGAAACAGGCTTTCTAACGTGTTTCTAGTGTTCTGTTCGTGTTAGAGCACATCAGAGACATGATGATGGTTTACAGTAAAACAGTTCATAAACAACTCCATCATGTGATACCATGCAGACTTCAGCTGGAAGCTCTCAGACCTTCACCTGGAGAACCACAGAACTGTCAGTTATCGTTCCCTGGAGATGGAAATAAAGCCTGAAACTCTGTCAACCAGCCTGGTGCTGATCCAGAACGTGGACGGATCCATGTTTCTACTGACATACAGTCTGAGGGTCCAGCATCAGTAGAACCTAATGTTCTGGACAGAACATCAACAACTCTCTGGGTTTTACCAACTTCAAGCAGCTTCTGAGTGTTTGTTATTCACTCCTGGTTCATGTTCCTTCTCTGACCTTCATGTTCCTTCTCTGAGGTTCCTCTGCTACATAAAGTCCTGCAGCTCTGTGGAACCAGAACCACATGGCGGAGGACAGAACTCAGAGACGTGACTCAGACTGGATGATGGAAACCAGAAACCAGAGAGCTGGATTTCTGTTTCCTCTCTGACCGACACACCGGAGCAGGAGAAGGCGGAGCTGGGTCAGATTTTACTGAACCAGAACCGGCTCTTTGATAAACTCTCATCAGAATGTTAAACACAGAACCCATAAATGAGCTGCAGATGTTTCCTGAACTTCTCTGCTTGGACTGTTCTAACACCGGAGCTGAACCGGCAGCAGAACCCCACCCTGGCGTCCACGTTCTGGACTTCCAGCTGCTGTGAACGTGTGAGTGCTGTCAGAAGACGTTCTACTTTGGGTTCCTACTTTGACTCCGGCCAGCATGCCGGTGGTGGAGACGCTGAAGTCCAAGTAGGCCAGGGTGTCGGGGTCGGCCGCCCGGTACAGCACCGGAGGCTTCTTCTTTGGCAGGTCGTCTGTGGAGAACATCAGCCTCAGTGTCACGTTCTGAGAAGTTTCTGCAAAGTTCTGCTGATGTTCTTGTGTTCTGAGGTTGTGTACCTGTGTCCAGCACCGGCGGCCAGGTCCGGACGTCGACGGCGGCCGAAGCTTCTTTGGACCGGAGCAGTTTGGAGATGAGCTGTGAGGTCATGACGCAGACGGAGCGGCTCACCTGGACAGAACCACAACACAACAGAGGTGGGCTATGAAACAGAACCTTCTGACAGTATTTTGTGTCTCTTTATCGTCCCTGTTGTGTGTCAGTCTCAGGTTCTGTTGTGGTTCTTCCTCCTAAATGTCATGTGTCTATCTGCTGGACTGATGAAGTTCTGAGGCTCAGAAATGATGGAAAAAGTCCATTAAAGTGATCAATCTGGACCCTCCTCTGTGGACTTGAAGGACCTGGACCTGGAACATTCACAGTCTGAAGGTAGAACTCTGGTCAGTAGATAAAGGTGCTGCAGAATCAGAACCAGATGCTCTGAGGAGGTCAGTGAGAAGAACCCTGGACGGTTCCTACCTCCACAATCATCTTGACGGTGGGCAGCGTGGTGCTGATGTTCTGGGGGTGGGGCGGTCGCACCGTGATGGGAACGCAGCCGGCGTAGAGGCAGCCGTAGAACGCCACGATCAGGTCGACACCTGCAGGGAGGAGGAGGGGCGTTACACTGACTGGTTCTCCTGACGTTCTCCTGACGTTCTCTGCAGCGTCCTGCTCATGTTCAGCAGCTGAAGTCAAGTTCTGACACAGCGTGGTTCAAATCACTTCCTTTTGTTTTTACATTTCATAACTTAATCATCACTAATTGGCTGATCTTGGATCTGTCTGTCTGCTGGGCTCCTCTGGGCTCCGTCTCGGCGCTGTTCTGCTGACTTTCTGACCCATGACCGTAGATCCTAGCCGGGTCGCCGACGGCTTCACGGTTGTTCTGGTGAGCTCAGAACTTTTTTTTTGCAGAATCTGATCACTGCAAACAGTTTGCTTTTTTGAATAAAGATCAGGTTAAAGGACACGCTGCAGATGGTTCTGTTGGTTCTGTTTCTCTGAGCTTCCATCATATGTCTGTGTTCCGGTGTTAATACAGAAAATTTTTCATCACATAAATAAATGATGAAAACATTAGAACTGCTTTATGCTGAAGCTGAACAGACGTCTGCCGAGAAAACATTCAGAACAAATGAAACAACGATTAAACTGCAAAAACCGTCGAGACGTTCGTCTGTCTGCTGACGTTTCTGATAACTCGGCTGATTTCTAATCATTCTGAGACTAAACGAGCATCATGAAGAACATTTTTAGGATTTTTCCAAAACAACTAAACAAGTATTTAAAATATTAAATTAATAAAAATGTATGAAATAAATAAAACAGCTGAGCCCGTCGTGGCTTCACGGCTGCACTGAGGAGGTTTACATTTATTGTTATTTCTCAGAATCTGTTTTATGCAGTTTGCTTTTTGCAAATTATTCACTGACGCCTGCAGAATAAAATGATTTTAGGGAAATCTTCAGTTTGGGCTGAGATGGGTAGTTTAAGGACCGTCGGACAACTGAAAACACAGTTCCAGGTTCTGTGATTCTGGAGCTTTTCTCATCAACAAGGCGTCTTTTAGACTTGCCGAGTTCAGATTATTCACCTCCAGCTGTTTGATAATTAACTGGCTTGTAGAGAAAAAGTCAAACATTCAGAATTAAATGTGGATGTTTTCTTTTCTCCTCTGACTGACTGTCTGGTCCGTGGAGACGCCCATCTACATTTTTCACGGGTCTCTCAGGTGTTGGTAAGTCTGTCACCTGGCGGGTAGACGAGGGCCACGTGGTCTCCGTCCTGCAGGTGGCCTCGCTCGGCCAGCAGGGCGGCGACCTTCTCCGCCCTCTTGTGCAGCTGCAGGCAGGTCAGGGAGCTGGAGACGGTTCCCTGCAGGAGGCGAGAGCACAGGAACAAGAGGGACACGTTCAGACGGACTCAGATTGAATAACAACACCTTAACAAACGCGTCATAAATCACTTCCTCCTGTTGTTCTGCCTCCTCCTGTCGTTGTCTGTCACATCCAGACTGTGTTGTCCTGTTATAATCTCATCCTCCTCCTAATGAACATGGAGGACCTGAAGCAGACGCTGACGTTACCCTGGAGTTGAGCAGCGTGAACAGGACGTGGTCCGGAGTCGTCTGAGCTCGCCACTGCAGCACCTCCGACAGGAACAGGAACTGGAACACAAACACGCCGTACAGAGAATAAAAACCACGACGGACAAGTCAGAGACGCCCTCTGGTGTTACACCGTCAGACAGACCTCAGAAGCTAATGAGAGCACTGAGTATAAAACACATCCCTGGGCGCCGTACAGGGCACCTGGCTGAGCTGGCGTCCCATGTGCAGGGCTTCAGACCCAATGTGGAGGTCATGAGTTTGAATCCCGCTCATGGCTCTTTCCCACACGTCCTTCCCTCATTCTTCTCCCCACTTTCCTGCCTCTCTCTCACTGCACTATTTAAATAAAGGCCAAAAAAATAACTTAAAAAAATAAAAACAGATCCCTGACTCAGCCAGGTCTGGTTTGAGCTAACAAAGGATTGTTTTCAGGCTCCTATAATGAAACAATAACGGGGTGTAAAGATCAAATATTTTCTCCTGTTCAGCCCCACAGCATGCTAACACTATGGATGTTCCTGTTGTTGTGGCTAATGCTAATGTTAGACACGTTAGCCCCTCAGCATGCTAACGCTTGGGATTGTCCTGTTATGGCTAATGCTAACATAGCTCTTCATGTAAACTTGCTGCGTGTTGTGTATTCAGACGGCCCATGGATTGTTCTGAAGATGATTCTGGATCTTTGCCATTCAGACCTGCAGCTCTGATGACTGTTTAGCATCTTGTCTCAAGTGAAGAGAACTTATACGGATGTATAGATGTTAAAAACTCTAATTTTTCACAATTAATCTAAAGCAGAATCGCTCAGCGGCTCGACGCCTTCGCTGAACTTTCATTGCTGCAAACGAGCGTCGGCCTCCTGCTGAAGTTCAACATGAACAGAGCGACAGCAGCGTTTCCTCAGACGCTGGATGCCTCCGAACACAACGTGTGTGAAGATCTGAAGATCTGAAGCTGCTGTTGGTTCACACTCAGTCGACCTTCTGGACTAAACATGATGACGCAGAAGAAACCCGAAGAGACGCTCAGAGGGAGCCACAGTCAGCCACACAGGGGGCTGGTTTCCACAGCCGTGGACGGATGAACAGGTGGATGGATGGATGAACGGGTGGATGGATGGATGAACGGGTGGATGGACGGATGAACGGGTGGATTTCCAACTAATATGTCCACGTTATTGAGGATAACTGCTCTTTCATTACACTATATGCAGCTCATTCTAAATAATTCTATAACGAATAACTAATAAAAATCAATTAAAAGAAAAATGTATTTAAATTTCAAATAATTAAATATTTAAATAGTAATAATTATCTTTATTCTGCTCTTTGTTGTATTTATGCTGCTGATCTGCCTGTTGTTGTGTTTAACAGTGACAACAAAGATCTGTTCTGTTCTATTATTATTACTACTATTCTTATTATTATTACTATTATTATTCTTATTATTATTCTTATTATTATTATTACTGAATTTAACTAATATTTCTGCTTCGTGTTATTTTTCTGGATTCTATCAGCTTCACGTTAAACTCTGGTCTTCTATGAACGAGCTTTGCTGCTGTTTTCATCTTTCTTTGTCTCATTTTTCTTTGTGACGTTTTGTCTCAGTTCTGTTGTTTTTTGTCTCGTTTGTCTCGCTCTGTGTCTCGGTTCTGCCCTTTCTGGGTCTCTAGTTAGCGACCAAACTGCAGACGACTGAACAGAGTGTGAGATGTGAACACAAACATGTGGCCGGCGTCGATGCAGGTGTAGAAAACCAGCGCCCCCTCTCACACACACCTTCCTTGCCTGGTCGTTGTCTTCGATCTGACCCAGATCTCTGCCGCTGGCCTGAGCGATCCGCTTCCCCGACACCAGGTTCCCCACCATCACCGAGGCCGGGCCGATCTCTGCAGAACCACAACAGAACAGAAGTGACAGCAGGTTTAATGCTGCGTTCATTTGTTAAGCCAAGCTTGATTAATCCAGACTTTCTACCAGGTTCTACTGAACCCGCTTAGATCGGACAGATGTTCTTAACACGTGTTGATAGAAAAAACAGGATTTCTCTACATCAGAGTGAACGATTGATGTAAATGTTGTTTCCTACACAGTGAAGACAAAAGTCAAAGCTCAGCTCATGGTCCGGTAACAACACGGCGCTGAATCCTGCTGCTCACGTCTCTGAGCTCTAGAACTGGACGAGAACCACACATTTAGAAAAACTGCACTTCAGTCGTCAGTTTGCTCCTGACGGTAAGTTTCATACTTTAATCAGGAGAATCTTTCATTCTGTCTCACTGATGAACCGCATCTCTGTTCATCTGAACACCTTCAGACTACGTTTGATTTGCTTTCATTAGAGCTGTAACACCTGCTTCTGTTGTTATTTGTCCTTTAAACTTTGTGCAGCACAACAGAGTCAAAAAAGATTCTGATGATTGTTTCCTCACATTTAAATAAACCTTCATTCGCGTCTCAACCATCTTACGTGTATTGTTTCTCAGAACAACTCTTTGTTTCTTTGATTCAGGGTTTAACTCAGACTGTATGTTGTCGGGTGTTGTCGGGTGTTGTCAGGTGTTGTCGGGTGTTGTCGGGTGTTGACGGGTGTTGTCGGGTGTTGTCGGGTGTTGTCGGGTGCTGTCGGGTGTTGACGGGTGTTGTCGGGTGTTGTCGGGTGTTGTCGGGTGTTGTCGGGTGCTGTCGGGTGTTGACGGGTGTTGTCGGGTGTTGTCGGGTGTTGACGGGTGTTGTCGGGTGTTGTCGGGTGTTGGCGGCTGCTGATGTTGTTGCTGAGTGTTGTCAGCGTTACCTGGTTGTTTCTGCCGGGGTTTGGGCAGGTTGGTGACGCAGGTGTGCGGACACATGAGCACGTTGCAGGGGTGCAGCGCCCCCTCCAGGAAGAGCTGTTTGGTCTCGGACAGGTGGATTCCTCCCAGAGGAGTCTTGGGCAGGGTGTTGGAGGGAACCAGGGCCAGACAGTAGACCCCGACCTGGTGGATCCCGTCTATGGCCTGGAACACGTGACCAGGAGTTAGTCTGAGAACAGACTCAGTGAAATCTCAATGACATCTGGAGACAGTTTGGTCCCTTTTCTGTCGTTTAATGCCTCGTTTGTGCCATTTTCTGTCTTGTTGGTTCTGCTGTTTTTTATTTAGAAGGACGAAGCGACCCGATTCTTCACGTCTAAAACTGCTGCTGTGGGAACACTTGATGGATCACATGAGCTGGAGCTCATGAACCTCACACTCTCTGTCATGGTCCTGTTGCTGCTAAACTCCCACAATGCTCTCTGCTGCCACCATGAGCTGTAGTCTGAGTGACGCCTCCTCTGGTCTCTACAGGATTAAACAGGAAGAGGCTCCAACTGGTGGAACAACCAGGTACTACAGCTGGTCTATGATGAGTGACATCATGTCGAGAATACAGGTCTGGGACTGACTTTAATAACGTTACTGTACTTGATGTGTGTATTATCAGGAGGTTGGTACCAGATCAGGACTTTGTGTGTGACTCAGATTGGACTGGAGGCAATGAAACTTGATCAGAGCATCTGTAGTAATTACTGCAAACATCTGACTGAAACTTCTGCAAACAGCTGCATTTACATGTTCTATGGTCACGACAGTCTCGTTTCATGTTCAGCATCGTATCCAGTCATTCAGCCTCTTTTGAAAACAGAGCTAAATGGAAAAACAGCTGAACAGTATCTGAGATGGAATAAAGAGAATCTGGTTTTATTGCAGCCCAGACGTCTTTTATAGCTTCACCACCGCGGCCTCGGCGGCTAACGGAGATCTGGAGCTGCAGCAGGGACTTAGACTGGATCCGTCTGTGAACGTATCGGATCACAGTGTGTTTAGGAGACAGAAGTGTGGTGAGAAGGAAGAGTTCTGCTGCTTCATGAAGGATTCTGTGAAACTGTGTTTTGCTGAGCTGGTTTGTGTTGAAGCATCAGTCAGTCGTCTTCTTCCTGTCAACAGATTGAATGGAAAAACCAAAACCAGCAACGTCCTCATGAGTCAGTCTGTCGGACATTCTGTAAAATATTTTGTGGAGAAAACGCTTCTTCTGAAACACGTCCGCAGGTTTTGGAGTTCAGACGACTAAAATAGAAAAATCTCCGTACGTCATCACTTTGTCTGAGAGCCCAGCGACAGGATGGGACTCCCTTCAGAGGAGTCGGTCTTTGTGGTTCTGATAAATACTCTGTGCATGCTGGTGTATGGACCTGCGTATACAGTGCAGATAAATGTTTGTGTACCTGCAGAACTCGGCTCATCCACTGGAAACTGTCCTCCTCGGTCGAGTCCGGTCGCTGCTCAGCTACAACCACGATCCTCTCGTCATGAAGCACCGTGATGGAAAACACGGCTATCCTGCAGAACACAGCGCTGAGTCAGCAGGCGTCAGGTCCACCACAAACTGCAGCCTCCAAACTGAATAAATGAGCCTGAACCTGAGCCGAGGCTGCAGGCTGAACGGTACCACCTCACGAGGTTTACTGAATAAAACTTCCAACTGAAAGTGTTCAGCAGGTGACAACTATGATCAGCTTGTATAACATACAACAAATACACAGAATGTTCTTCACCATCAAAGCTTTATGGGAGCCAAGACAAAAACTCAGATTAAATCTGGACCACAGTTCACCAGAAGACATGTGGACACTCTGAAGACACCTGGAAGAAGGTTCTCTGGTCTGAGGAGACCAGAATGGAGCTTTTTGTTCATCAGAGTAGACACTATGTTTGGAGGACACCAAACACTGAACATCACCATAAACACACCATCCCCACTGTGAAGCACGGCGGTTTTATATTTTTGTAATTAATTGGCATAACTTTGTAAAATCCTGTCGTCACTTTGACATGAAGGATTTCTTACCGGCCCCTGTAGACGAACTTCATTGGCTCCACAGCCAGCGCCGTGGCAACGATATCATCGGCGTTGTGCCGACGCCCTCCGACCACCATCAGACCATCCATCTTCCCAGCAACAAATATGAGACCTGCAGGTCCAATGAAGCCCAGCAGGCCGGTTCTGGTGAAGGGAAACTCACTGATGGGAGAACCGCCGTTGGACACCGGGAAGACCTGCAGAGACGGCAGAGGAACGGTGAGGAACCACGGCGTCAACGAGGCAGAGAAGCAACGAATCAAAGCGTTTACGCTCTCACCTCGAAGGTGTTCTTGGTCATGCCAGTCAGACCATAATATGAGGTTCCCGTGGCAACTGTACAAACGCACAACTCTCCGATCTCGTCAGTTTTACAGAGCTGAGGGACGCCTTCAGGCCTCACCACACACATCACAGCTGGGACACAGAGAACACCATCCTCACAGTTAGAACCTTCTCACAACCTCTGATGTCTGCAGAACAACAGAGCTGCACTGGATCCATCAGCTGGTTCTAACACGTCTGAAATCATTGCTTTGTCCAAAGACCTTCAGTTTACGCTCACAGAGGAAAGAAACCAGAAAATATTCAGATCAAGGAGCTGAATCACAGAATTCTGCTGTTTTATTTAAAAATGACTCAAACTGATTCCTTGTTTCCAACAGCAGCTGACGACTGTTCCAGCTTTAATAAACCGGTGACTGACCTGCTCCTCTCATTGTGTTGACGTGTTCAGAGCAAACTTCATGTTTGCTGCCGTTAAAGAGCATAACTTTGTTTTCTGTTCACATTTCCAACCTGCATGGATATTCAGGTAAACGTCGTCTATCATCTGTCTGCTCATCAGTTTGGTTTCTCTGTTGTTTCTGTGCTTCAGTTGGATTTAATCTCTGCAGGTCTGAATCCATCACACAGCAGCTAACAGTAAAATCTGAATTATTTTGTTTTCTTTCCAACAGAAGCATCACATCCATGTAACTAAAAAAACATTCATTTATCTAAGTTACGCCCGATCACGTCCTCGTTAGTCACTCAGCCAGAGCGTCTGCCCGCTGATGGAAACCTGCAGCTTCAGTTCAGATGAAACAAAAAGCAAAGAAAGACGCAAATAAAAGCTTTAAGTCTGAAAAGTTGTAAAACTGTCTTTAAAGTGCGTCGGGCTGCCGGACCGGCGGTCCAGTTTCCAGAACGCTCAGCGGCTCCAGAACAGGACCTGGTGGATCTCTGCCTCACCTCCAGGCATCGCCGAGCCCACGTCCTGCAGCGTCAGAACCGACAGCTTCTCCTCCGAGTCGACCCGGATCACACCGTGGCTCAGACCCTGCATGGACAGAACGCCGCGGCCCGGCGGGGAGCTGCCTTCCTCCAGCGGCCTGCAGGGGGCGACACCACACATTGGGTTTACAGACTGAAGCAGGACAGAACCTCTGGAACCGAGAACTACACGATGAAGGGAAGAACTGAATGTTTCTGAAGTAAATCTGGAAATACTGAAGGAACCGTGAGCAAAAAATTAATCTGTAGAAAATCTGAATATTGTGGAAAGTCACAGTGTTTTTAGAAGGTGATCAGAAACGTGGACGGGGATATTAAAGGACAAAGTGAAGATTACACTATCTGTATCTGTGTTGTGTGTCTGTGTTGTGTGTCTGTTGTGTACCTGTGTTGTGTGTCATGCGTTGTGTACCTGCGGACGGCCACCGTCAGGGCTTCCGGGGAACTAGCACAGGGACAGATCACTTCCTGTTTCAGTCCTTTGGTCTGGAAGACGTTGAGGAAAGCGTCACAGGACGAGATGGACCCTGAAACACACAACCAGCCGTTTACTACACAACAGACGACTTTATAGAACCTCAAGACTCTGGACCTGCCTGGTTCTGTTCCAATAACTGAGTAAGAACCTGCAGCAGTTCTGGTTCCTTCATTAGGACACATTTAATGTTTGGAGTTCTGATGTTCCACAGAGGAGGTCCAGACTGATGGTGGTAGAACCTGACACCAGATCAGTTCTACATCCATCCAGGTGTCTCAGTCTGAACACTGGACCTGGTTCTGCTCATGTCTTCTGTCAGCAGCTGGTAGCATCAGTATTATGGGATGGCTCATCGTGGAACCAGTCTAATGTCTATGACATAGAGTCATAGAAACAATCATTGGTACCCTGGATGTGGTTCTGGTTCTGATCATTCACCAGAGGAAACTTTACAAAGTGCATTCTGGGTAAACTTTCCAGGCTCATATCAGCATGTGTGATGGTGGTTGTCAGAACCAGTTCTACACAATGGAAGGACTATTGGACCTCCAGAACCATCTGTAGACAGGATTCATTCTGTGTAAAAACAGACTTTAAGTTTGCATCTCCTACATTTATGAGCCTCAAAGACGTTGGACAACAGAACTTGAATTAAAGACTTCAATATTTTGACCCTCCTCTGGACTTCAAGGACCTGCAGCTCTGAACATGTTCATCGTGTGGAGGTCAAACTGTGCTTTGCTTCATGAAATATACGAAAGTTATTGAAGACTAAAGACCCGGAGGAGGTCCGCGGAGGCTCAGATGGATTCTTCACCAACAGCTTCACCTTAAACTTCTTACATGTTTACGANCCTGGATGTGGTTCTGGTTCTGATCATTCACCAGAGGAAACTTTACAAAGTGCATTCTGGGTAAACTTTCCAGGCTCATATCAGCATGTGTGATGATGGTTGGTCAGAACCAGTTTTAGACGATGGAAGGACTGTTTTACCTCCAGAACACACCAGAACCATCTGTAGACAGGATCCACTCTGAGGGAATAACTTTCATGTTGCTGACAGAGGACATGAACAGAACCAGGTCTAGTGTTTAGACTGAGACACCTGGATGAATGTAGAACTGATCTGGTGTCAGGTTCTACCAGAACTCAGGTGTGTTCCATCCATCCATCTTCTTCCGCTTTATCTTGAGTCGGGTCGCGGAGGAAGCAGCCTTAGCAAAGCCGCCCAGACTTCCCGATCTGCACACACCCCCTCCAGCTCTTCTGGGGGGACCGCCAGGCCAGTTGAGAGACATTATCTCTCCAGCGTGTCCTGGGTCTTCCCCGAGGCCTCCTCCCGGTGGGATGCGCCCGGAACACCTCCCCAGGGAGGCGTCCAGGAGGCATTTGAACAAGATGCCCGAGCCACCTCAGCTGGCTCCTTTCGACGTGGAGGAGCAGTAGCTCTACTCCGAGCTCCTCCCGCGTGACTGAGCTCCTCACCCTATCTCTAAGGGGGCGCCCAGCCACCCTGCGGAGGAAACTCATTTCGGCCGCTTGTATCCGCAATCTTGTTCTTTCGGTCATTACCCAGATCTCATCACCATAGGTGAGAGTAGGAATGTAGATTAAATCGAGAGCTTTGCTGCCTTGCTCAGCTCTCTCTTCACCACGATGGTCCGGTACAGCGACCGCAACACTGCAGATGCTGCACCGATCCGTCTGTCAATCTCACGCTCCATCCGCCCCTCACTCGTGAACAAGACCCCGAGATACTTGACCCATGGCCTCGGATTTGGAGGTGCTGATCCTCATCCCGCTCGCCCCACACTCGGCTGCAAACCGCCCCAGTGCACGCTGAAGGTCCTGGTTTGATAAAGCCAACAGAACAACATCATCTGCAAACAGGAGAGATGAAATTCTGTGGTTCCCAAACCGAACCCCTTCCTCCCCCTGGCTGCGCTGAGAAATTCTGTCCATAAAAATAATGAACAGAACCGGTGACAAAGGGCAGCCCTGGTGGAGGCCAACGTGCACTGGGAACAGGTCTGACTTATTACCGGCAATGTGAACCATGCTTCTGCTGTGGTTGTAAAGGGAATGGACAGCCCTTAACAGAGGGCCCCGTACCCCATACTCCCGAAGCACCCCCCACAGGATTCCACGAGGAACACGGTCGAACGCCTTGTCCAGATCCACAAAACACATATGGATGGTTGGGCGAACTCCCATGAGCCCTCGAGCACCCGATGGAGGGTATAGAGCTGGACCACCACTCCAGTCTGCCAATCCAGAGGCACTGTCCCCGACTGCCACGCGATGTTGCAGAGATGTGTCAGCCAGGACAATCCCACAACATCCAGTGACTTAAGGTATTCAGGACAGATCTCATCCACCCCCGGAGCTCTGCCACCAGGGAGCTTTCTAACCACCTCGGTGACTTCAGCCTGGGTGATGGGCGAGTCCGCCTCTGAGTCCTTCAGCTTGACTTCAGGCTGCCACCACCGGGTTCGGGGATTGCCGCCATGACAGGCACCAGAGAACTTACGACCACAGCTACGAGCGGCAGCAGCGACAATTGAGTAGGAGAACATGGACCACTCGGCCTCCATGTCTCCAGCCTCCCTCGGAATTTGGGAGCTCACCTGGAGGTGGGAGTTGAAAACCCTGCTGACACAGAGTTCCGCCAGACGTTCCCAACAGACCCTCACAATACGCTTAGGTCTGTGCAGCTTCTTCCCCTGCCAGCGGATCCAACTCACCACCAGGTGGTGATCGGTGGACAGCTCTGCCCTTCTCTTTACCCAAGTGTCCGAGAAACGTGGCCGGAGGTCTGATGATACAACTAAAAAGTTGATCATCGACCTCCGGCCTAGGGTGTCCTGGTGCCACATGCACATGTGGACATCCTTGTGCTCGAACATGGTGTTCGTGATGGACAAACAGTGACTAGCACAGAAGTCCAACAACACAACACCACTCGGTTCCTCCCGATCATCGTTCCTCCCGATCATCCCTCTTCAGGTCTCACTGTCGTTGCCCACGTGGGCGTTGAAGTCCCCCAGCAGAACAAAGGAGTCCCCAGTCGGGGCACTATCTCGTACCCCTCCCAGGGACTCCAAGTATGCCGGGTACTCTGCACTGCTGTTGGGCCCGAAGGCCGAGACAACAGTGAGAAACCTGTCCCCAACCCGGAGGCGTAAGGACGCAACCCTCTCGTTCACTGGGGTGAACTCCAACACGTGGCGGCTAAGCTGGGGGGCAATGAGCAGGCCCACTCCAGCCCACTGCCTCTCCCCGCAGGCAACACCAGAGAAATGGAGCGTCCAGCTTCTCTCCAGGAGTTGGGTTCCAGAGCCCAGTCTGTGTGTGGAGGTGAGGCCGACTATATCTAGCCGATATCGCTCAACCTCCCACACAAGCTCAGGCTCCTTCCCCCCCAGATGTGTTCTTCCTCCTACATGTCATGTGTCTATCTGCTGTACTGATGAAGTTCTGAGGCTCAGAAATGATGGAAAAAGTCCATTAAAGTGATCCATCTGGACCCTCCTCTCTGGACCTCAAGGATCTGGAACTCTGGAACATTCACAGTCTGAAGGTAGAACTGGTCAGTAGATAAAGGTACTGCAGATACAGAACCAGATGGTTCTGAGGAGGTTCTGGCTGGTGTCTCTGTGGTCTTACAAGGATTGGACCCGTCAGCCACCAGCAGCATCCTCAGCGAGCTCAGGTTGACGTCCCTCTGGTCCCGGTGGGCCACCAGAGCCCAGTGCATGTCCCGGGACTTGACACAGGCCACCTTAGCTGGAAGAGGAGGAGGCAGCGTTAGAGGGAGGAGCAGTGAAACGACCCGGTTCTGCAGCAGGTTCTGGGTTTGTGTGCTACCTTTGTACTGGCAGACCTTCTGGATCCAGGACAGAGGGTTGACCTTCATCAGGGCGTAGGGGATGCTGATGACGTGCATCATGTTCATCACGCTCTGACACACACACACACAGACACAGACACACACACAAACACACACACACATGTTCAGTTGTCAGCACACTGCAAAATAGAAAGTCATGTAAATCCAGAGGTGTGGGTTCTTACGGTGAGCACGGCGTGCCACAGCCCCACATCCTTCTTGAAGTCTAAAACATTCACGATGGTCTCGGCTGCAGCAGGAACAGGAAGGAGTCATGAGAAAGGAGGTGGCTACAGCCAATCAGAGCAGAGATCAGTCACAACCTGTCAGAGTCTCACCTTCTGTGTACGAACAGGTCTGAGTCAAGGCCTGGCAGTGGGTCAGCATCGATATCCTCATGACGGTGACGCCGAGCACGCTGCCGTCCTTACACGTCTTGTACTGGAACACACCAGTAAAGGTCAGTTCTGATGCTGTTATACTACTGAATGTCCTCTCTGACATGTAGAGACGGAACCAGAACTGGGTTACCTCGATGTAGGCTGTGTCCTGGTTGGCGTCCTTGATGTGAGGGAACCAGTCTCTGGGCGGTTTGGACAGGTGCTTGGACTCGGTGACAAACCACAACAGTTTGGGCCAGCCTGGACACAAAGCACACATCCCATAATAAAACACACAGGTTCTGATGGTCCGGTTCCATCTGAACATACATGGATCCACACTGAGGAAGAATTTTAATAAATCCTGCTGCAATAATTTAACAAGAGACTCAGTGAAAGCCACTGTATCCAGAACTATACGATTATAGAGTCGAGTGAGAACTAGAATGAGGCAGAAGAATTAAAACTCATAATTAAGATTATGACCCATCTTCTAAGAGCAACACTCATGAGTCAGATAAAGGAACAGAACAATAAAATGGATGGAAATTGTAGAATAGAAATATTAAACCGCTTAATTCACTCCAATGTTCAGTGTTAATGTGTCGGGGCACCATCACTGCAGGCTGGGCTTAGCTCCGCCCACACAGCCTCTGATTGGGTTAAAAACGTGTCACATGACAGAGTGTTTTGCAGTTAGTAACTACAGAGCACAATGAGACTAGACTAGAATAGAACACTATAGAATAGAACAGAACAGAGTAGAATGGAACAGAATAGAACATAATAGAATGTGTTCCCAAATGCAACCTATGAAAACAGTGATACAGCTTTTTATTTATCTATTTAAATAATTTGAACAACATAAAACAATAACTGATTCGATTCTATTTTACTGTTACTGTTACTGTTTTGCAAACATCTGTTTGAATTTTACTGTTTTTCTATTTTATTCTCATTCTGTCTGTAATTCTATAAAAAACAATGTCAGGTAACATGTCTATGAGCCAATCAGAGGCTCTGTGGGCGGAGCTAAGCCCGGGATGCAGCGATGGTGCTTTTGAATTAAACGTATTTGATCGATTCTAATCCTCAGAAATTCCTTCAAAACAAAAGTCCAAATGCTCGTTAGTTATTTTATAACATCTGCACAGTTTTTACTGAATTTAACTAAACTGATAATATCATTATTTCAGTATGTTAGGACCTGAAAAATGGTAAATATTCTTTTATTTTACAAATATTTCCTGTTTTGTTAAATCACAGAAAGAAATATTAATTTAAATGTTAAATGTTCAAATATGTAAATAATGTCCAGATCAAAAATCTGAATTTTTACAAATTGCATTTTGTGTGCATATATATCTATATCAGGCCAAAAAAAAGAAAGAAAAAGGTCTTTTACAAATAATTTTTCATTATAATAAAACTATTAAAATGGTGAATTTTTGAAACGTGTTCACGTGTCGACTGTAAAAACAAAAAAAACAAATAAAGTTTACAATTAAAAAAAATCTGTATTTTATCAAATATGAATTTATCCTTTAACAATATGAGTAAAAACTGTTTTACTGTGTTTAAATTAGCTGGAAATCTCGTTATTTAAAGCTGCTAAGCGCTACAGAATCGTCTGTTTTGGTATCGACTTGAATTTTCAGGTCGCAGATCGGAGGTTTGGGTTGTTTCCTGTGATGGCGGCTTTTAAAAGAGGAGGGACGAGTTCAGATTAATCTGACGAGTTAACGCAGAAGCACAAAGACGCTACAGATCGGGTTCCGGGTCTGGACCTTTGAACTGTGAGATCTCCCCGGTGGGGCTCTTGGGCAGCCCCTTGTGGCAGGCGTCGCTGGTCAGAGCCACCGTCACGCCACAGCTGCCCAACAGGAAGCCGATCTGCTGGCTGCCAGCGTCCTGCAGCGACACACAAGCCAACAGTTGAACACCGGAGACGAGCTGCTTCAAGTCCTGCAGCTCCGAGTTCACAGAAAACAAACATCTGGACCACGTTCATGAAGACGATGGACCTGGACCGCCTCACATCAGACAGAGCTCACGTTCACTCTGCAGAAACACACCGTCGGTCCTCTCACGGCAGCATCTCATCTGATCTGCCTGAAAGCTCAGTGCTCTGAGCCGAGACGCTAAACAGCATTAAGTAGACAGAAAAGACAGAAAGCAGATAAAACTGTCCCAAAGAGACACGGAGCGACAAACACGACACAAAATGAGGACAAAAAAAAAAACACAAAATAAGGAAAGAAATACACAAACGGAGAGAAAAAAGGCACAAAATAGTGAAAAAAGACAAAAAGAGGCCAAAAAATGCACAAAAAAAAGGAAAATATGGGCGCCTGGACAGCTCAGTGGGTAGGGCAGGCGGCCCATGTACAGGGCTCTAGTCCCCGATGCAGCGTCCCGGGTTCATTTGCTGCATGTCATTCCCACGTTTCTCTGTCTATCTTTCACTGTCAATAAAGGCCAACAATAAAATCTTTAAAAAAAAAAGTGGAAAATACAAGATAGTGAAAAAAGACCGAATGACAACAAGGAAACAGAAAATTACACGAATCAGGCAGAGAAAGAGGAACCAGAGAGGACACACAGGAGCAAAGCTTCATCAATGAAGCTGAAATTAACAGTTTATGACAAAAACCAAAACTCTTCTAAAGATGTGAGGATTTGACACGGAGCCAAACGTTCTTTAAACGTTTGATCCAAACTGGACTTATGGTCTTTGAGAACCGGTTCTGTTTTAGTGTTTTACCAACCTTCCTGGTGAGCGGAACCTCGATGGGAACCGGAACCACCTCGGCCAGCAGGCAGCCGTAGAACGCTGTCATGAAGGCGGCCGGGTCGTTGTTGGGGAACACCAGCGCCACCTGCAGGCAGCACCACATTATGGGATGGATGGATGGAGGTCAGGAGGTCAAACACAGACAAACGTCCTCATAAACTGGAGTAAGTAAAGTGGAATATCTTAAATAAAGTAGAATATCCAAATAAATTACTGTACATAATTTGGGATATCCTAACAAACTGCAGTAAATAAAGTAGAACACTGGGGCTCACGCCAGATGGTTTTCATTCCAACTCATATTTCCTGGTTGTTTTGCTGATTATGTGGAATCTGCAGGAAGTTTTCATATCAAACAGTATCAGCTGAGAATGGCGCCTCCTTTAGACCGGATCACATCAGATTCTCCACAAACACAAAACCTCTGAAGCACGTTACCAAAATAAAAGCTTCCTCGTGGTTTCTAATTGAACTCATGGTTATTGCAGACGTGGAGCTTCTGCTCAGCGCTGGCGTCTCTCTGCTCACTGAAGCAAAGCGTCTGTAGTTTGAAGTGAGCAGGAAACACAGAGAAGCTGTGATTTAATGATGACGCACAAAAACCTGAAACCCGAAAATAAAGATGAAACACAGACGAGGAAGCTTTTATTTCAGCGTCTCTTCTGTGTGGAGCTCTGATGTGATCATCACAATATAATCACATAATATATAATAAATAAAAGTTTCTGTA